CTACAGCGCCACTTCCGGTTTTCTGGTGGTTTATTGGAGATAGGAGTCTCACGGTTTTTCCTGCCCGGGCTGGCTTTGAACCGTGATCCTCAGATTTCAGCCTCCTGAGTAGCTAGGATTACAGGCGTGAGCCACCAGCGCCCGGCTATTTGGCTTTATTTTTACTCAAGGCTGGTGCTCTACCACTTGAGTCACACTTCCACTTTCCATTTTTTTGCTGGTTAACTTGATTTCTTTTTTGGGGGGAGGGTTTGGGTCTGGTCGTGGGGCCTGAACTCTGGGCCTGGGCCCTGTCCCTCAGCTCTTTAGCTCAAGGCTAGAACTCTACCACTTGAGCCATAGTGCCACTTCCGGCTTTTTTTTTCTGCTTATGTGGTGCTGAGGAATTGAACCCAGGGCCTCATGCATGCAAGGCAAGTACTCTACCATTGAGCCACCTTCCCAGCCCTTGCTGGTTCACTTGAGATAAGAGTCTGACAGACTTTTCTGCCCAGGATAACTTGAAACTTGTAGCCTTAGATTGCAGCTTCTTGAATAGCTTGGATTATAGAATGAGCTCTAGTACCTGGAAGAACTTTTGTTATTATTTAAGGGAAAAAAAGAAGTAGAGAGGAAACTAAAGCAAGGATAATTATATCAAACTTCAGGAAAAATTCTTAGTGTAATATTTTCTACTCAATAAAGAGTTGTTTTTTTTTTTGTGGTGTTGGGGATTGAACCCTGGACCTCAGATATATTAGGGAAGTATTCAACCATTAAACTACATCCTAGAGTGTAGTTCTCTCTCATTCTATCTCCCCCTCTCCTCCTCTCCCCCCTCTCCCCTTCTGTTTCTCTTTTTATTTTTTGCTGGTTCTGGAGCTTGAACTCAGGGCCTGGGCACTGTCCTTGAGCCTCTCCATACTTGAGGCTAGCCTTCTACCATTTGAGCCACAGCGCCACTTTTGACTTTTTCTGTTTATGTGGTACGGAGGAATTGAACCCAGGGCTTCACGCATGCTAAGCCACATTCCCAGCCCATTTTCCTAACTTTTGTGCTGCTGGTCTCAAATCTCAATCCTCCTTATCTCTGATTTGGGAGTTATAGGTGTGTGCCACTGTGTTTGGCTTCCTAGATTAGAAGTTCTTTATTTTTTTATTTTTATTTTTTGGGTCCAGTCGTGGGTCCTGAACTCTGGGCCTGGGCCCTGTCCCTCAGCTCTTCAGCTCAAGGCTAGCGCTCTACCACTGGAGCCACAGTGCCACTTCCGGCTTTTTTCTTTTTGCTTATGTGGTGCCTAGGAATTGAACCCAGGGCCTCAGGCATGCAAGGCAAGTGCTCTACCACAGAGCCACCTTTCCAGCCCGTAGATTAGAAATTCTTAATCTGAGTTTTTGTTGTTGTTGTTGTTGTTGTTGGTCATGGGTCTTGAACTCTGGGCCTGGGTGCTGTCCCTCAGGTCTTCAGCTCAAGGCTAGCGCTTGAGCCACAGCGCCACTTCCGGTTTTCTGATGGTTTATTGGAGATAAGAGTCTCATGGACTTTCCTGCCGGGGCTGGCTTTGAACTGTGATCCTCAGATCTCAGCCTCCTGAGTAGCTAGGATTGCAGGCATGAGCCACTGGGACCCACTAATCAGAGGTTTTTAGGAAGTCTTTGACTCACCAAAATCATAAGTAATGTTTTAGTTTATGTAATTTCTTCTAGAAAGTGATCTTTGTTTTAGTTTTCAGGAAGTATATTGCAACGTAGTCCAGGCTGGCCTTAAACTCAGTATCTAACCTAGAGATTTGAAATCCTCCAGCTTCACTCTCCTAAATTCTGGAGTTACAGACATGTACTCTCATGGCAACCGAGAGTGGTTTTTATCAGATTCTCTTATGGGTCTGTAATTAAAAAACATAAGAATCACTTTTTATTTTTCTGGTCTAGTCGTGGGGTCTGAACTCTGGGCCTGGGTGCTGTCCCTCAGCTCTTCAGGTCAAGGATAGCACTCTACCACTTGAGCCGCAGCGCCACTCCCAGCTTTTTTCTTTTTGCTTATGGGGTGCTGAGGAATCGAACCCAGGGCCTCATGCATGCAAGGCAAGTGCTCTACCACTGAGCCACCTTCCCAGCCCCATCAAGAACTATTTTTTTACTATCTCTCTCTCTTTTTTTTTTTTGGTGGTTCTGAGATTTAAACTCAGGAGATTGAGCTTGCTTGCTTTTCTTTCTTCCTTTCCCCTTTCCTGTCCTGTCCTCCCTCCTCCCTTCCCTCCTTCCTCCTTTTTTTTTTTTTTTTTTAGGTCCCGTCGTGGGCCTGAACTCTGGGCCTGGGCGCTGTCCCTCAGCTTTTCTGCTCAAGGCTAGCACTCTACCACTTGAGCCACAGTGCCACTGCCGGCTTTTTTTTTTTTTTTTTTTTCTGCTTATGTGGTGCTGAGGAATGGAACCCAGGGCCTCATGCATGCAAGGCAAGCGCTCTACCACTGAGCCACCTTCCCAGCCCCCTTCCTTCCTTTGTTCCTTCCTCCTTTCCTCCCTCCCTTCCTCCCTCCCTCTCCCCCCCCCTTTCTTTTTGCTGATCCTGGGGCTTGAACTCAGGGCACTGTCCCTGAGCCCCTTTGTGCTCAAGACTAGTATTCTACCACTTGAGCCATAGACCACTCCCACTTCTACTTCCAGCTTTTTTTTTTTTTTTCTTTTGTTGGTCATGGGGCTTGAACTCTGGGCTCAGCTCTTCAGCTCAAGGCGAGCTCTCTACCGCTTGAGCCACAGCACCACTTCCAGTTTTCTGGTGGTTTATTGGAGATAAGAGTCTCATGAGGCCGGGTGCCAGTGGCTCATGCCTGTAATCCTAGCTACTCAGGAGGCTGAGATCTGAGGATTGTGGTTCAAAGCCAGCCCTGGCAGGAAAGTCCGTGAAAATCACCAGAAAACTGGAAGTGGCTCTGTAGCTCAAGTGGTAGAGTGCTAGCCTTGAGCTGAAGAGCTGAGGGACAGCGCTCAAGCCCAGAGTTCAAGCCCCATGACCGACCAAAAAAAAAAAAAGTCTCATGGACTTTCCTGCCTGGGCTGGCTTTGAACTGCAACCCTCACATCTCAGCCTTCTGAGTAGCTAGGATTACAGGTGTGAGCCCAGAAGGCCATTGAGCTTTCTAGGTAGGTCTTCTACTACTTGAGCCATGTCTCTAACCTTTTTTGCTTTATTTTTCAGGTAGGATCTTATAGTTTTTTTTTTTTTTGTTGTTGTTGTTGGTCATGGGGCCTAAACTCTTGGGCAGTCCTTCAGCTCTTCAGTTCAAGCTGAGCACTCTACCATAGTACCACTTCTGGCTTTTTCCGCTTATGTGGTGCTGAGGAATTGGACCCAGGGCCTTGCAAGGCAAGCACTCTACCACTGGGTTACCTTCCCAGCCCTAGGTTTTTTTTTTTTGTTTTTTTTTGTTTTTGTTTTTTGTGTGTGTGTGTGTTATTGTGGTTTTGTTTCTTTGTTTCAGCAGGCATGGACTGCTGTGATCCTTCTACTTATGCCTCCCATGTAGCTTAGATAACAGGTGTGTACTACCACACTCAGATTTTTGTTGTTGTTGAGATGATGGTTCCTCAGTAACTTTTTTTTTTTTGGGTCCGGTCGTAGGGCCTGAACTCTGGGCCTGGGCACTGTCCCTCAGCTCTTCAGCTCAAAGCTAGCACTCTACCACTTGAGCCACAGCGCCACTTCCGGCTTTTTTCTTTTTTGCTTATGTGGTGTTGAGGAATGGAACCCAGGGCCTCAGGCATGCAAGGCAAGCGCTCTACCACTGAGCTACCTTCCCAGCCCTCCTCAGTAACTTTTTGACCAGTTTGGCCTGGAACCATAATCCTAATCTCTATTTCCCAAGTAGCTAGGATTATAAGGATGAACCACCATATCCAGCATTGCTGTGTAATTTCTAAAAGGAAATGACCACAATAACAACAACCAAAAGAGAATGGCTAAAAACAGAAAAATGAGGCCTTGGGGCTGGGAAGGTGGCTCAGTGGTAGAGAGCTTGGCTTGAATGCATGAGGCCCTGGGTTCGATTCTGCAGCACCACATAAGCAAAAAGAAAAAAGCCGGAAGTGGCGCTGTGGCTCAAGTGGTAGAGCGTTATCCTTGAGCTGAAGAGCTGAGGGATAGCGCCCAGGCCCTGAGTTCAGGCCCCATGACCCGACCCCCCCAAAAAAAATGAGGCCTGCAATCCTAGCTACTTAGGAGGCTGAGACCTGGAGGATTGGGGTTCAAACCCAACTCAGGCAGAAAACTCTATAGTACTCCACTTCCAATTAACCAACATGCCAGGTGGATGTATGACTTTATGATAGAGCTCCAGTCTACTCACTTAAGCTGAGTAAGGGTGAGAGGCCCTGAGTTCAAGAACTGGCACTAAAAAAACCCACAACAGACTCATTGTGTTTTGGAGTTCAGAGTATCAGAAAAGAAAGATCAACTTTGTGAGGTAGGGCTTGTAATATGCAGTTACAAATTTATGTCCTTGTAATTTTAAGAAAGTTCTTCGGTACAGGTACAGAGTTTGAGTTCCGGTCTCAGACCTAAAAGAAAAGAAAAGAAATAACCAACCTTATAGGGGTTGTTGATGTGGCTTAGTTGGTAGAGTGCTAAGCCAGTGAGTGAGAGCCGCAGATACTGAGTTTGAATTCTAGTCTCAGAAGTAAAAAGAAAAGAAGAGAAAAAGGTTCTTCTCTAGGAATAACTATTTCTCTTATCTCTTTAGACATTGTGTGCACTTATTCGAGGAGTTCACCAAAAGAATAAATCTACTTCTGGGTTTGACATTATCAACATGCTGATGGGCTTTGACAAGGCAGAGCTGTGCATGAAGGTGAGGAGTAAGCTGTGGGTATGCTAGTGTATGTCTGACAGCTGTTTTTCCATGCCATCTGTAGACAGATGTACTAAAAGATGTAGATTCAGGTAGATCATCTATTATCTGGCTTTGCATTGGGTATTTTTTAACAAATTTTGTTTAAATAAAGTAAAATTTAAATTGAAAAGTAAAATATGCTTTCTCTGTTGGATTTAGACATCACAGCTAATTTATTTGTTTCATTTGGTCAAACATTTGTAAATTTGTGAATTTAAACAAAAATATAACACTATACAATATCAACTTTATTTTATATTTATTTATTTATTTATTTTTTGGTCAGTTGTGGCGCCTGAACTCTGGTCCTGGGTGCTGTCCCTCAGCTCTTCAGCTCAAGACTAGAGCTCTACCACTTGAGCCACAGCACCACTTCCAGATTTTTCTGCTTATGTGGGGCCTCATGCATGCAAGTCAAGCACTCTACCACTGAGCTACCTTCCCAGCCCCTATTTTTATTTTGTTCTATTTCATTTTTTTTGTCAGTTGTGGGGCCTGAACTCTGGGCCCTCAGCTCTTTAGCTCAAGGCCAGTGAGTACTCTACTACTTGAGCCGCAGTGCCACTTCTGGCCTTTTCTGCTTATGTGGTACTGAAGAATCAAACCCAGGGCCTCATGAATGCAAGGCAAGCACTCTACCACCTTCCCAACCTCTATTTTATTTTATTTCTTTTCTTTTTTTTAAAATTTCTTTTCTTTTCTTTTTTTTGTGGGGGGGTCCAGTTGTGGGGCCTGAACTCTGGGCCTGGGCACTGTCCCTCAGCTTTTCTGCTCAAGGCTAGCACTCTACCACTTGAGCCATAGTGCCACTTCCGGCTTTTTTTTTCTGCTTATGTGGTGCTGAGGAAT